ATCAGTGCAGAAATAAAGGTCCTCAGGCCTTTGGACAAGGGGCTAAACGAGGTCCTTCGTACAAACATCTTTAAGGGTTAGGGGATACAGCTCAGCTGGTAAAGTGCCTGCTTAGCATGTGCAAAGCTCTGGGCTCCATGTTCTGCACCACATAAACCAGGCATGATGATTTGTGCCTGTAATCTCAGCACTCAGGAAGTAGAGGCAGGAGGATTAGAAATTCAAGGTCATCCTAGGCTAAACAGTGAGCTCCAGGCCAGCCTGGGATGCAGGAGATAAAACATCTTGACCAGAAATGATAAGAGCATTCTTATGGCTACCAAAAGTCTTACCTTGTGATGACTGGATCTCTCCAGAACAGGTCCAGGAAGCCCACAGGGGACACGAAAGTTTTCTTAGGACTTTTGATTTCTGTTAAATTTCCTTCACACTTCTAAGCAGAGGATGGGGTGGGGGGATGCTTTCTATGACAATATGTGGTAAGTTTTGTGCCAATTGAAGATGATGAATTAATGCTTCTCTGATACTCCTGAAATTAAAACCCCATGAACTAACCACAAGAGCATTAAGCTTTGCTTCAGAACGCATTCTCCACAGATGAATCAAAGGCCCTAATGCATTTGCTATTTGGGAGTAATAAAGCATGAAATGGGGCGGAGGACTTATACATTTACATAAGAAGAGTGAACCAGGAAAGTTCTGGAGAAGCAGTAACGTGGAAGGTGCCCCTGTGAGACTAGCTCTGAAAATGCAGGCCTGCCAGCTGCTGCCCTTCAAAGCACTCCAGCTCGTCCTTTCTCTGGGTGTTCTAGTCAGTTTCTGTTGCTATGATAGAACACTGACCAAACCAGCTTGGGGAGGAAAGAGTTTATTTCACTCCCAGGTCACAGCCCATCAAGGAGGGAAGCCAGGGCATGAGCTCAAGGCAGGAACCTTGGGGTAGGAACTGAAGCAGAAACCATGGAGGAATGCTGTGTACTGTCTTTCTTTCTCCCTGGCTTGCTCAGCTACCTTTCTTTTATAGTGCAGGTCTGTCTGCCTAGGGATGGTACCCCACAGTGGGCTGGGTCCTCCCACATCAGTTATCAACCAAGAAAATGCCCCACAGACACACTCACAGGCCGGTCTGATCTGGGACCTTCCTCAGTTGAAGTTTCCTGGTCCCAGGTGACGCTCGTTTGTGTGAGGCTCACAAAAACTAACCAACATTCTTGGCCTCCTTAGAATTTTCTAGATCCCAGCACTCCACCTTTTTCCGTGCACTCCTGGGAGTAGGAAAGGGCCAGAAAAGACAAAAGGAAGGAAAAAAAATATATGTCTTCTAAGTTTCCAGTGTTGAGGATCTATGGTAGCCAGATTAGGAAATGAACGTCATTTGCAATGGGAAAGAAAAAGTCAAATAGAAACTTTAGGAAAAACAGTGATCTAAGCCCAAAGTTGACATAAAATTGAAGTGGTGTAGACTTTGCCATCTGTGTGGAATCATCGGAATCACACAGCCTGCACGGTCTTGTTTGCAGGCCTCTGTACCACCTGGTGACTCTCAAGTACCTCCACTGAAGAACTGTGAAACCAGCCAGCTTCATAGCTGTGCGCTCAAAGCTTGCTAAGATGGGTCTGAATTTTCAATTATTACACATAGAATTGGTTTTACTCCATTGACTCATAACAAACTCAGGACTTGTCCTGCTGTTCATGGAGTTTGGAGGACAGAGGCTACCTTAGTATAGGTTTGATGGCATCTGATAGTGAGCCCAACTCATAAACATGACTAAAGACTACTTTTCTCCAGTAAAGTGATCCTGGAGGTGATCAGCCCAGGGTTGTGGTGGTGGCCCTATGGTCATCACGAACCCCACGTCCTTTGTTCTTGGTGTTTTGCTGTTGTGACTTTACCTCATTCCTGAAATGTCAGTCCTTGCCTGAGTCATCATGTTTACATTCCAACCAGTGGAAATGAAGAGAGGACGTAGAAGACAGAGTGCAGAGGCCCAGGACCAGAGGCCGCTGCCTGGTCCTTCATCTCCATTTGAAACCACGGTTTAAGTTCAGGGTTGCCCTGGCTGCTAGGAGGTGGGACTGTGCATTCATTCAGATCAGTGATGCTCCTACTTGAACACAGTCTCAGTAAGTTCAGGGTTTAAGTTCAGGGTTGCCCTGGCTGCTAGGAGGTGGGACTGTGCATTCATTCAGATCAGTGATGCTCCTACTTGAACACAGTCTCAGTAAGGAAGAGGTGGGAGTGGATGTGCATCCATGTTGTGGGCCTCCTGGAGTAGCCATTCATCATGTGGTTGCTTCTTTCCTTGCTTTACTTCTATGGCTGTTTGCCCGCTGATCACATTTCCAGCCACACACAGGAAGCAGAGAGCAAACTGGAAGTGGGGCAAGGCTCAACCCTCAAAGCCCCCAGTGACGTACTTCCTCCAGCAAGGCTGCGTCTCCCCAAAACCTCGCCAAACAGTGCTACCAACTGGGGACCCAGTGTTCAAACACCTGAATCTATGGGGGACAGTTACTCAAACCACCACCTCTGGCCCCTTGGGTCCAGTAGGCTCACAGTCATTGCAAAATGCAAAACATGAAAGTTCCCATAGTTTTTTTTTTTTTTTTTTTTTGGTCTTTTTGAGACAGGGTCTCCCTGTAGCCCCAGCTGACCTGGAACTCACTATGTAGACCAGGCTGGCCTTGAACTCACAGAGATCCACTTGTCTCTGCCTCCCGAGTGGTGGGTTTAAAGGCGTGCGCCACCACGCCTGGCTGTTCCCATAGTTTTTAACAGTTGCAACATTGTTGAAAAGTCTGAAGTCTCTTTTGAGATTCAAGGCAAGTTCTTAACTGTAATCTCCTATGAAATAAAAATAAATTGTATACTTCTGACACATGATGGCTCGGATTATATATTCCCATTCCGAAAGGGAAGAATGAGGGCTTAGTAAGAAAATACTTGTTTTTCAAACCAAGCAGGGCAAACACCAAATCCTTCTCCACTGTCTGGGACTTTGGTTTCAGAGGGCTTGGATGGCTCAACCCTTCAGGTTTGCTACCTGCAGCACACATCTGTCTCTTGGGCTGGCTCCACTCTGAATGCAGCTCTCCTTGGCAGATGTCTGGAGACATCACTGGCATCGGCAACATCTTGGGCTCTCAACTGCAACCTAGGCTTCACAATGGCCTCTCACAGCTTTACAGGGTCTCCAGCCCTGCCATACACTGCCTGGCCTCACTGACTCTCTGAAAGAGCAGAAGAATTATTCATGACCCCCTAGTTTTGCGTGTGTCATGCTTTCAAAGCCAGTGCCAGGTGGATGACATGAGGGCTGTCGGCCTAGAATGGACCCTCACCCCTTCTACCTCATCAGAAGCTGCTTTTGTATGTTGAAGCAGTTTCTTCCTAGGATCAAACAACCCATCAGGCTTTCATCTTTTAGGAGCTGGAAGCTTAGCTAGGTGGAGCCTTACCCTGAGGGTACGTTTCCCATTGTTCCAGTGCAGAACAAGAGGCCTCTCCGTAATAGCTCTAGTTGCTTTACCCTAACTGCTTTAACCATAACCTTAAGCTTCCCAGTTCTCCTTTTCTCTCCAAACTATACATTTTGTAGTTCTTTCTGTAACACTTGCTCCCTTTGACTGTAGACCTACATAAGAGTTATTAGTAGTAACCACACCACAGACTCAATGTTATGGTCTCTTGAAATTTACTTTTTAATTCAGCCTTATGTAAATTCTCAGGACATGGGCAGAAAACAGCCAGATTTTTTGCCAAAATGGTACATTAATGGCTTCTCGCTGAGTTGCTAATAGAGACCTTGTCCCTGTCTAAAACTGCGTGAGCTGGTCCTCCACAGTCAGCACTACTGTCTTGGGACCTCTCCGGGAATGGTCCATTAAACTCTGCTTACAGAGTTCTACAAGTGAAATCCGCTTTCCTAGTTCCAAAGTCTTGAAAATTCCTCCAAAAAGCAACATAGTCAGAAGCACTCATGGGACCGGCCTCTGTGCCAGTTAGTTTTCTGCAGCTGTGATAAAATACCACAACCCAAAGAAATTTAGAAAAGAAAGAATTTATTTTGGCTTACAGTTTCAGAAGGAAACTGGCAGGGGAGGCCTGGCAGCAGGTAGCCAGAGTGGCAAGCTGGCTGATCACATTTCCATCCTTCCACAGGAAGCAGAGCGTGAACTGGAAGGGGGCAACGTTATGAACCCTCACAGCCCAGCCCCAGTGACTGGCTTCTGCAGCAAAGTGCCGTGTCCTAAAAGTAACTTAACCTCCCCAAACAGCACCACTAATTGGGGACCAGGTGTTCAAATACTTGAGCCTGGAAGGGACAGTTCTATTCAAACCACTAAAGAAGCAGCAGAATCGGGAGGCAAAAGAGCCCATCAGCTTTCACCCTCACCCCTCTTTTTCTCGCCTCCTCGTCACCCACACTTCTTCATTCCCTAGTTCGTTCTTCCTTAGTTCCTAAACAAAGCATCTTTTCATACCTGCAAAGAAGAAAAGACATCTTCTGGCTTTTCTGCCTTCAGTGGTGGAACACTTCAGAGAAAGGACAGCTGGTTTGTCTGAGGAACTGCCACAAACAGCAACACAGTAAATGCATCTGGCTTGGAAAAATAAAATCCTTCCCCCGCCCCCCAAATCGCTTTAAAAAAGTCAAAAGCTTCCTTCAGCGTTTCATTTCAAACACTCCTTTCATAGGTATTGTTTGCTCTCAAATTTCTGTCGGTGGAGGCATGAGTTATTTTATTGGGATAGCCGCTAAAAGTGGTGGGTTCCACCCACTAACAACAAAAAGCCGCGTTCACCATAAGTCCATCTTCACGGTGTGGTGAGTTTGCTTGCCTGGGGAAGCTAACCAGTAGCACATGAAGATGAAATAGAAATCCTTATTGTACTGGGATTCAGAGTACAGTAGCCTAAGTCAGCATTGTCCCATGTCGCTACATTGAGTCATTGAATGGTGGTATATGAGACAGTAGCAAAATTCATCTAGATCCCCCTTTTAAAAGCACTCAGTGGCCTTTTGCTAGCGACTCATTTAGCCGTCAAGAAGGGCCAGAGTAAAAACACTGCCTTTGGGTGAAGTAGAAACTTGTGTTGTTTTACTTCCAACAGTGTCATAACAAGAAAAAAAGAAAGAAAAAAGAAAAACTCATTTAGATCTGTGACTATCATTACGATAAAGTTTAGCGTGTGTAATAGCCAGAGGGGGATGTTTCTAAATGTTTGTTCTGTCAACTCCCCAAACTCTTGTTTGAGAGTCAGAGAGGAGTATGTCTAAAACTTTTGCTGCATCAACCTCCAAACTCTTGCATAATGGCCAAAGAGGAGTGTGTCTAGACGTCTGTCGTGTCAACCCCCGAACTCTGATTTAATACATTTGACCCAGGTATAGGAATATGAATTTTTCTTTTTTAAATAATTTATTATTTTGGGGTATATGAGTGTATTGCCTGCATGTACACCCATGTTGTGCAATGCTTGTGGTCAGAAGAGGGCTTCATCTGATTCCCCTGGGACTGGAGTTGCAGACGGTTGTTAGCTGCCATGTGGGTACTGGGAACCAAACTCAAGTCCTCTGCAAGAGCAGTCTTAACCAGTGAGCCATGTCTCCAGACCCAGGAATATTAATTTTTCGTAAGTATCTTAGGATCAAACTTTGACAAATACTGACCTAGAGATTCAGGAGCATGGATTTGTAGAACACATAATGCCATAAGAACCAGAAGGAGTCACCGTTTACTAACTGCAGTTCTGACAATCTATAGGGCCTCTCAGTTCACATCCTCATTTAAAACGTATTTTATTAAATCTTTGAGTTTCATATATTTTTATCAGATTCATCCCCCACTCTTCCCTTTAACTCCTCCCAGATCTACTAGTACCTTCCTATCTTCCCAAGTCCATGTCCTTTTATTAAAATAACCCATTGAGTCCCACTTATGCTGTCCTCATTGGTATGGGGCCATCCCCTGGATTGTGGTTGACCTTCCAGGGGCCACACCCTAAGGAAACACTGACTCTCCCTCCCCCAGACACCATCAACTGTCCATAGATCCTCGGTTAGGGGAACAGGGTCCTGAGTGCTCTTCCCATTCCATGGTAGGATGTTGACTGGCTTGATCTTGTGCAGGTCTTGTGCAGGCCATGAGGTCACCAGTGCAGTGGTCCTGTCGTGTCCAGAGCACATTGTTTTGTTCCAGTCCTCTCCGATCTCTGGATCTAGCAAACTTCTGCTCCCTCTTCCCCGATGTTCCCTGAGCCTTGGCGGGGAGAGGAGGGGTGATGCAGAGGTCCCATTTGTGGCTAGTACTCCAAAGACACTTATTCTCTGCACCAGTTGTGAATTTCTGCACTAACTATCACTGCCCAAGAAATGTCTCTAATGAGGTCTGAGAGCCACACTAATCCGTGGGCTTCACTTGTGCATCAGTACACTAATCTATGAGTAATACATGCATTTAGATGTCAGTTTGGTGCTATGTCCACTTAGTAGAATAATAGTAGTTGACTTACCCTTGAAGTCTGTGAACTCCCCAACCATGTTTTCTTAGATCTACAGCACCAGGCATGTATTTCCTCCCATGGACTGGGCCTTAAATCCAAGTGGAAAGTGGTTGGTTACCCCTATAACGCTCATGCCACTGTTGCACCATGAGCCACACCTGTCATTATTGTAGTTCCCAGGATTCACAGCTGGGCGAAACTATTGGTGACTTCTCCCCCAGAAGACTACATAGCACGTTCCTGTACTATGAAAGCAAGCCGGCAGAGAGGAAGTTTCCTGGTCAGAAGCAACTTGATTTCTCCATGTCCTCTGACCAGTATGTTTGGTGTCCTTCACCGACAGGTTACTTGAGGAGGAAAGGGCTTATCTGGCTTGTAGTTTTCAATCCATTTGAGACAGGAACTCAAGGCAGGAGCCTGGAGGCAGGAACTGAAGCAGAGTACAGGGGATGTAGCTTCCTCTGATATACTCAGTTTCTTCTGAGACCCAGGCCCGCCTGTCCAGGGTGGCACCACCCACAGTGGGCTGAACCCTCCTACAGCAGTTAGCAACCAAGAAAATGCCTTGCACACATGCCCACAGGCCAGTCTGATGGAAGAACTTTCTCCGCTCAGGCTCCCTCTTCCCAGATGTGTCAAACTGATGACCAAGATTAGCCATCATAGTAGCACAGAGCAGCAAGTTACAGGAGATATCAGGAGTAGATCGGTCGATTTGTGGGAGCATAAATAGGAACAGGCATGGGCCATGTGTTGCGGCATGTCGGGGGGAGCTGGACAAGGAAGCCCACAGAGCTGAGGAAACCAGAGAGGTCCTAGAGTGTGAGGTCATGAAGTAGAGCTGAATCCTGAAAGTCAAAATGTCACTGTCACAGTTTAGTCCAGTGCTGCTGAGTTGAGGAGACAACTCTGTTGTCCCTTCCTCTCTGTTCACATTTGCTGTCGTGGTTTCTAATGTGATCAACAGAGGTCACTAGGAGAGTCCATCCTTGGGCCCTACCTCAAGGAGGTGGGGGCCTCCCAGTGATGCTCAGTAAGTTACACATACCGCAGCCAGTGCATGGGGCAGTGTCTGGGTGACTGGAGGTGTCAAGAAGATTTCACATTTAAAATTCTGGTTGAGCCAGTTCTTCAAAGAGTGGGGCCTAAAAGGTAAAGGTTTGGAAGCCTGAAGGAGAAGAGATCCTGAAGAAATGGGCTCCGCTGGAAGCATGGAGCCAGCATGCGGTCTGAGGGGAGGGGTCCTTTAGGAAGTGAAGTGCTGAGGATGGATCCCCACAATGGTGACGCTCAGTCTCTCCAAATGGAGGGGTTCCCATGCAGGATGCAGTGACAGGGAACAAGGCCAGCACCCGGCAGGCTTCGACAGGGATGGGCTTTGTGTTGCCCCCATGGATCCTCTTAGGAGGTCTTGTTGGGAGCTCACCTAGCCTTTGGGCAGATGGCCTCTACTCTCTGTCAGGCTGGGTCTTGAATCAGAAGACCAGAATCTTCATGAAATCAATTTGTCCTTCAGAGAGAAGTAAAGGTCTCACCTAATGGGTCAGACACTCTGGGATCAAGAAACTAAGAATGAGGCAGGTTTGTTCCTTTATTTCCCTTTTCTCTCTCTTTTCTTAGCCAGTGGACACTATGTTTTCAAATTTAACTGTAGATTGACAAACAACAAAAAAAGGAATTCGTAAGAAGAGAAGATTGAAATCTGAGGTCGAAGGACACGTCTCACTTCAGTCCTCTTTAGCAAAGTTCCTGGCTGGAACATTGGGTAATTTTTTGGGTAGTTGGGGAGAAAAGAACATGTGGGAGACTGAAACTAGGAAGCTAATTCTTTGGGCAAAAGTGCTTCTTGGCACGAAAGCCACCGCCAGCACCTCCGGCTTAAAGTAAATGTCCCTTTAAAATGCTTCACTTTTTAAATATGGTTAAAAAGAACAAAAGAGATCGGATGAAATAAACTTATTTTCCCTAAGATGGAGGAAACCGAGTGTTTTAAAATACAGAAGGAGAAACAGAAATCAAAATCTATGAACCTAACGTTTAAGTTAAAATCACAGTGCTGCTATGAACCGTAATACCCGGGGGTGGGGTAATTACAGTTCATAGCAGCATCAGAGGAGGAGGCAGAACACTTGTACCCTTCCTTGGCTCCAGCTTTGGGCAAAACTTTGGCTGTGGGTCTGCTGCCCTGTCTCTGATTTTTTTTCTTTCAACAATTGCACTAAATTCTGGGCAAATTAATTTTCCCTCGGAGTGAAAGGCTCTTTTAGTAATTCCTTGAATGTCCACACCATTGTCATTAATGAGTTTTGTTCTGTGCACTGTAGGATGCCTTCTTCATAGACGTGTCTTTTCAAAAGCTTCCTCCCAGTGAATAGACACCACAGTAAGTCACTCAAAAAAAAAAAAAAAACCTGTGGTAAATATGGTGGTTTTTTTTTTAAATATTATCACCATTGTCTCATAATTTTCTTTCATAAG